AAGTAAACAAGTATGTCAAAGATTGGCAGGTTCTGTGCTGAATTAACTGGGTAAGTTTAACAGTGGTAGGGAGAGGTGCTATTACATACAGAATGTGTAATACAAGGATGTTTGAACAAAGACCGGATGGAAGTGAGGGGCTAGTTTAGGGGACAGCCATACCTTAGGTCTGGGCTAGAGGACGCTTGAGTCCTGGGAATAGACAGGCATGTTGCCCAGGGCAACAGAGACAATTCTCTGTGCTGGTTTGATTTGCCCTTTTGATTCATTCTCTACCCTTCTCTTTCCTGCTATTCCCTAGGGTAGGGAAGCTCTTACAGACTGCATTCCCAGGTCAGACTTGCCATCTGCCTGTCAGCTAAGTTCAGCCAAAAGGACCCAGAATATTAGAGAACAGGATAAAAGTGGAATACTGACACTCCCACTCCCTCTGAGTGACCACAGCTCTGACAGTGACTGCCTTCCATTACACCTCAATTCCCACCTGCCTTCCACAGCCCCTTCTGTGACCCAGGCTCCTGTCCTACCCTTCCTGGGCCCCACCAGACAGAGCTTGCCCTCTCTAGGAAGCCTTGCAGGGTTAGCATTCCAGATGAGCACTGTGCACTTACCTGTACAGGAATTTGTCCATGGATGTCACCTGGACAGCCTCTCCCATCAGGGGAGGAAGATAAATTTTGACCCTAGACACCCATCTCAGGCAAAACGTGGACCATGGTCTCACTCTCCTCCAAGGCTCCAGCTGTAAAATTATTCATACCAGCGAAGGAAAAACAGACACTGGGGTTCTAAATTCCTTATTATTCCCTTAGACCTCACTGCCCCAGAGATAAGAGTCCTCTCCCTGAAGATCCAGCCAAACAACTTCCTATCTTAAGCAACCCAATCTACCTCCTACAATAGCTCACTGCCCAGTTTATTTCCTTCATAGTATACTTATCACTATTGAAAAAAGCTTACGAGTGCACATCTACTCTACCCATTAGGACGTGCATGCCACAGAAGCACAGAACTTGCCTCATTCTCCTGTGTGAACAGCTTCCAAGTACCTAAGAACTCAGTAAATATTTTTGAGTAAGTGGCAACAGAAATGAGTACAAAGTACCTCTGCTACCTGACACTGCCACAGGGATTGTAGCAGTCTTAGGGTCAGAATAGGCAAATATTTTCCCAAGTACTGCTGACTCTCCAGCTTTGTGGGGGCAGGAGCCCCACAGTGGGGCAAGGATAATAGAGGAACCAGAGAATTACTCAGGTTCCACCAGTTTTCATCTTTCTGAAAACCCCCAGCTTTTCCATTTCTGAGTGACTCCAGCAGGATTTAGCTAATAGTTTCCAAGTCTCATGGAATCATATAGTAGTAGGAGGGCTACAAGCTTGGCTAAAGGTTCTAAGAAGCCAGGCTCCACCAGGTCCAGACCTGGAAACTACCATACTGGGCCCAAGCTGGAAATTGGAAAGACAGCCCCAACTATACCAAAGACCCAACAATATGTGGCTTACCTGGTCATCTCCACCAAGGGACCCAAGAAACTCTGTGGGTGAGCGCTACTGGTTATTTCCCCCCTACCTAAAGGGCCAAGCCTAGGTCCTACAACTAAAATCTGAGTCAGGCCAATCAGTATATTTCTCCTTGGTCTTCTCTCTTCAGCCCTCATTCTTTCCCACCATAGACACCCACTACCTCCACCCATGTGTGATGCCACCACCACCAGGCCAACCCCTTTACCTCAAAGAAGCCCAACAGTTCACAAGTGCATCAATCAACCTTTAATGTCCAAAAGAGGCGTGGATGCAGAGCATAGGAGATGTGGCAGGGTCTCAGCCCTTGCTCCAGAAATGAGGGAGAGATGAACACAAACCAGACATTTTCAACTGGCCACACAAATCTGGGAAGGCAGGGGGAAACTGATTTGGACATTCATAAAAAAATAAAACCTAAAATCAAGCACTCAATTTTTTGCCCATCAAAGAGTTTGATATAGGGAACTCACTCACCATCCCAGTCCCTACCCTCCCATCAGCATCAAAAAGAAAGCTGAGCACACATTAAAGGCTTGGGGAGGGGGCATTCTCCTGCCTCCCCACCAAGGATGGACTTGAAAAAAAGAATGAGCTGGATCCCAACCCACCCCTCCCACCCATGTCAACCCTATACATGAGAGAATTGAACGCAATTTACAGGAATCAGCAGCTCAATCAGCAATGACTCCCCCCACCCCACCCCCATCCCATCTGTTTGATCAACAGACAAGATGTCCCCAGCATCATCCTTGGAATCTCCTCCCACTAGGGGGCCCTACTCTATCCCGTATCCGGCTTCATCACTGTCAAGACCAACCTTCTCCAAAGCTGCCCAGAATCCCCTCACAGCGCTTTACCATTTCCAGCCCTACCTCCCACAAGAGACTCCAACTGTCCACAATGTCACTTTCCTTCCCTCTCCAGACACCCAGCTCCAGGGCAGATGGCAGCATGACCACCTCACCGTGGGCTAGCCTTCTAAAGCCTTCCTGGGAGCAGATGGCCATAGGGCAAAAGCAGAGAATCTGGGCCAAATGGCTGATGGAGGATGACACCAGTCTTTACCCCCAAAACAGACACCCCCAGAGGTTTTTAACATAAAGGCAAGGCCCACTTAGAGCTAACTGTGCTGCCTATCCACCCATATATCCTAGAGATTCCACACTGTCCTGCCCACCCCTGCCCCCAAACCAAAACACACACACATACATACACACAGAGGAGAATCAAGGGAGACATTGATTTGGTTTGATTGCTAAGACTTAACTAAGGAACTACAGTCACCAGAAATTCCCTTGCCAGCCAACAAACAGGGGCTGCTCTAAGAGCGCTCCAGAGGAATGAAAAAACTGAGGGCTAAGGGAGCAGACAGAAGAATGAAAAGAAAAAACCAAGCTAATCTTACCCCCAACATCCTCCTACCCTAAACTCTGGAAGAATAAATGGTAATCCACAAAGACACAGCCCTTACTTAGAAACTCTTCTGACAAAGACAGCAAGACAAGTCTGCTCCCCACTCCCACACGCCATAGACAAGCACGTCTCAGGGCCCCTTGAAGAATCCACCCACCCTCTGCCCCAAGCCGTGGAATCACAGTTCAGTGGAATATTCTCCCTGGTACTAGATCCCCCTACCCTCCCTTCCTATCCCTCTCTCCTTGCCAGTCCTAACACCGTATCCCCACAGCCTCTCTGGTCTTTCCAAAGCAGCACCCACCACCACAAAAGAGGCAGTTGCACAGTTTTAGTTCCACCTCCAGAAACCTATTTCTTTTCCCCAGCCCTCCTAGTCTTACAGGCTTTGTTGAGGGCTTTTTATTTTGTATAGGGAGAGAAAGAGAAGAGGGAAGGGTGGGAGAGATTTCCTAGTGCAATACAACCAAAACAATATGTTTAAGTCTTGAAAAAGAAACATAAAGCAGCCTTCTTCCCCAGGCAACTAAACAGAAAGAAGTTTGGTTTTGTTTACTGCGACATACACATGAAATCGAGTATACAGTCCATGCAGTAGCACAGCCATTGGAGAGGACATCCTGATGCTGGCCCCAGTGCAAAACAGTCCCAGCAACGCCGCCTGCTTGCCATTGCTGCCGCCGCCACTGACACCTTCACTGCGGGCGCCTAGCCTGACTTGAAGAGGAGGATTGCAACCTGACCTAAGTAAAAATAGATGAAGTGCTTTGTCTCGTGTGTAACGTAGCTGCCAAAATTTCGGCCCACGATACAATGCCAGGTAGGGTTATATTTCTTGTCAAATTCCTAAAAGAATAAAAGGGAAAGAAAAAAGTTGATTAGGACAGCTGGAGGATGAGAAATCAGAATGGGAGTCTGATTAGTTATTACCCCTAACCCACCCCTACCTAGCCCATGGACTCAGCTCCCTGAACCGGAGGAGCTCAGGTTCTAAGGCTGGCTAGGACACTCATTCCCTCATTAACAATGTAACACCACAAAGGCTTCATTATTTTTAGCACTTGACACCATGATCATCTCTCCTCTCTAGCTACCCTACCTCACAGCCTACCCTCTAATTCTTCTGCCACAAGGGAATGAGAGAAGCAGTGGAATATAGTACCACTCCAGTGTCACAGAGCATGAGTAAACAAGAGTAGCAGCATTACTGACTCACACCCACTGCCTCCCACATTACTAAACTAGCCATCTCCACATGCCGAAAACCAAGACACTAGGCCTAATGGGGACCAAATGTCAGAATTACCAGCTGTGTGTAAGCAACCATTAAAGGCACTCCTGTGTACCAGGCACTGTGTGAGCTGAAAGCAGAACAAGGACCTCAGCCATGAGATCAAAGCAATTCCCTCACTTTTCTCAGGGGCATAAGTTCAGCACCAAAGCCACCTAGGAAACCTCGTGACCTAACTAGGAGGCAGTTCCTAGCCACCCATGGACGCACCAGGAACAGACGGCTTACTTCTAGATGCATCCTGCCATGGCTGTTAAAGGGCAGCAGCCCCTCCACCATGGGTAAAGCAATGCTGCCAACCCTGGGATCTGATCCACAGGTACTCAATATACAACCTGTTTTTGGCTTCTGCAAAGCCCCCATAGCATATGACTCTAAGAAATATTAGGGAACAGTGCAAAAGGCCTGGGTCACCAAACCCAGCTTTAATCCTGACTCAATACTCTGGAAAATAGAAAAGCCATAGTTATTCTCTGGGTCTCATTTTCCTCATCAGCAAAACAAGCTGGACCAGATATAACCTAAGGAGTCTTATGGCTCTGAAGTCCATGATCCTTAATTCTCTCCCTGGCAAGACCATCACTAAGCAAGAACCCAACAAGTATCCCCAGCAGACTTGCTGGCTCTGTACCCCTTGGGTCCACACATACCAAGTCTCTCAGGACTCCAGTTTCCTCTTATCCTACCATCTGGATAGGAAAGCAAAGTTCTGTAAAACTCAAGGACACTCTACCACCTCTATGGACCAGAATGCCAATACTCTTAGCACCCTCCTTGGGATAATATCAAAGACTGGAACTATATCACCAGTGGACATGGATTCCTGACTGGGAATTCAGGGGCCCTGGGTCCCACTTCTCACTCTTAGCTCAGCTGCTTCCTCACTGTTTAACATATCTATTCACCCATTCACTCAGGTATTTTTCAGGAATTAAACCTATTTATTGCCCCACTATTGCTCATCCATTAAAAAAAATTATATATTCAAGCCCATCCTTTTCTTAAAGAGGTAGAGAGAAGAGGATGATGCAGTACCTGAGTCCTTTTTAAGAGAAAGAAAAGAAAACCTCATACATAATAAGGATTATTATAGGGACATCCCATTTTAAATGATGCAGTCTCTGAAATTTTGTATATATTATGTTATCCACAAAAGTATCCTTGATCTTCATTCTTAATAGTTGTAAATTGGGTCAGTTATATTTAATCCTAAGCTTTTTTCTCAGAGTCCTTGCAGTCACATAATTATTTGTAAACACACACACTCACACACACCCCAGCAGACTTCCTATTAAGAACTCCTAAGGTGAATGCTTTGGCAATTAATAATCTCTCCCTAATTTTTCTGCTCTGCAAGCTCCTGGGTTTTGTGTGCATCGAGTGCATCAGCTTTCTTATGTCTCCAGCTCTAGCCACCTATCATCCTCCCCAGGCCACTAGCCACAGCTATCCCAGTGCACCTTCTTGATATAGGCAGCAATGTCCTTCTCTATGTTGTACTTCTCCATAGCCTGCGTAGCGCAGTCAACGGCATCCTGTTGCATGTCCTCAGACATGTCTGCGTTCTTGATCACTGCCTTCCGGTCAGACATCGTGACACTGCAGAAGAAGCAGAGAGGTGAGGCTGACAACCCCATGCTCTGGGCAATGAATATTAGCAGCTGGGTTTGGAGCCTCAGCTGGGGGTGAGTATAGAAGGTGAGGGAAACCAAAAACACAGCCATGAGGCAGAGGACTGCCTAAGCTCTTAGCAGAGGTATGGTTCCCAAGCCTGGGAAATACAAAGTAAATAGTGAAAAGACATAATAAACCATCAGTTTTTATTATATGCAAAATGGGGGTTTCCCAACTCTAAATTTATCTATTTCTGGTATTTGAACAGCACCAATAACCAAAATATTACAATGTATCACCTACTAGCTGTGTCCTTCAGGAAGTCACTTACTTAAGCTTTGTGGTTTCATGCCATTATCTTAAAATGGAGACTGCAGGGTTAACCTGAGGATAAACCAGGTGACATAACACCTAAACACAATAAGTAGTAACATTTAATGACCACTATTACATCATTGGTATCACAGTGGAAAGGAAATAGACCAGGCCTGACTTTTGGTCCTCACTATGAACTCTTCAAGTCTTGGACAAGTCACGTAGCTTTTCTGCATTTGTTTACTTCCATTTTAGCAATGAGGATAGCTCTCCATCAGGGGTTGTTGTAAGGATTAACTGAGACTATACCGAAAACATCTGCAAACAAAGACAGTCTAGATAAGGATCTGTCTCATTGGCTAGATTTAGCCACCTGTTTCTGTAAATAAAGTTTTATAGGAATATGCTATAAGGGCAGAGTTGAGTAGCTGCTGCAAGAGACTGTATGGCCTGTAAACCTGAAATACCTTCTGGCCCCTGACAGCAAAAACCTGAAATACCTTCTGGCCCTCACAAACCAGCAGGCCACCAATGCCAGTGTTGAGAGAGATAACAAAAGATGAGGAATTATAATTATTCTAACAGCTTTGTTTCAAGGCATTTATCCTATAGCAACCAGTGTTCTGGAGTAGGCCTTGCATTTGTCCCTCTTCCTAAGAGATGACAGGAATCCCAAAAAGGTTGGCCAGGACCTGCCTGGCAGTCTATAGCACATGAGATACTTTGCAGTAACAGAGGAGATGAGCTACAAAATCTAATCCTCTGTCCTTGACCACATTCTCATCACACATAACAGTAACAACCTGCCCCCACCCCTCAAAGAGCCACTCTGTAGCCCAGCAAAGTAGACAAAAGTTGCTGTCATTCCAGCTGTCTGACACAAGGCTACACAAGGGCCAGCCTGTTCAAAGAGAGATGCTGGTATCATTCCAGACCAACCCTGTGGGCTAGGTGGACTTTAAGGGAAGCAGAACTCAGACTATTCCTTCAGCCTGAACCAAATGCGAAGAATGCACGCATGCCAGCTGTCAGCCACAGTCCTTGACTGAATTTAAGGCACCTTTGTCTGGCACATTCAAACTAAGCAGAATGGTTTCACTTCAACACAGGCCAGCAGAGCAAAGGGTCAGTAGACCAGCACCCTCTGCCTCCACACCCCAGAACTTCAAGAGGAGTCTGAGCATTGGCCTGTTGCAGACAAGAGAACCCTGTCATTCAAGAACTGACTAGCTCTATGACCTTGGGCAAACCAACATCTTCATTTTAAAAACCAATGGTTGAAATAAGATAAATGGGTTTAAGCAAAGGTGCAATAGCAGTGAAACGACATGTTCTGATATTATAAGCCTAGTGAAAACCAGTCACCAGGTGGCCTATTTCAAGTTACCATTCAGAAGGGGGCACTGTTTACAAACCCATGGGTGGGGGTGGGGCCTGGTTACCGATGGCGAAGTTCTTAAGTATGAAATTGGAACCCATTTTCCCCAGCATGCTCACCTGCTCCACTGCCTCATCCCCAAAGTTCAAACGAACAACTCTTGTCACAATAATTAAAAGCCACCTTACTCTCCAGGAGAGAGCCTGCAGTTACATAACGTTGGTCTTGTGACTACAATGCCTCGATTCTTCACCCCTGACCCCCCAAGGCATCTGTGAGACCTAGCCCCAATCTCCCCTGTCCAAGGTGCCAGGGAGAAAAGGACAGGGAGGTGCCCAGCCTGGCCCCTCCCTCCTGGGAAAAAAAGCAAGGGACCTAGACCTCCAGATAAAAGGATGATCAGAGGGCCCAGTCCAGCTGCCTCAGTCAAGAGCCAGGGGCTCCTCTGAAAAGCAGAGGGCACTCCAGGACAGCTCCCCATTCTCTTTCACGTTTTGCGACATAAAAAAAGTCTATAAGCCTTCCAATGACATGGACCGCCCTCCCCAGCCCCCAACACACACAAACGCTAGTATTTCCTCCCTTCAGATCTTCCTTCACCACCCCATGCTCCAGAGATCTGCGGTCCTGAAGGCCAGCACCTGGGTAATGAGAAAGCAGCCTCCTCCCCACCTCTGCCCCGGCTGGTCAGTCGCCCTCCCCCGCCCGGCCTGGAGCAGCGCCGGAGTGACTGGGCGTCCTCGCTGCAGAAAGGACGCCCCAGAGGGTGGCGGTGGCGGCAGGAGGAGCCGCGTCACGCCCGAGCCCTCTCCACCCCCTCTCCCTCGGCCCCAGGCACCAGAGGTCTCCACGCAGGGCAGGGAGACTCCCGGTAGGCAGTAGGGGAACGGCACCTCCACAGCCGCACCCCAGGAGTCACGAAGGCACAGGGTGGCGCAGCCCCCGGAAGGAAGGGTGCCGGGGGCGTCATGCCGGGGCCGGCCCCGCTCCGGGCCCCGCGAGGCCTGCGTAGGAAAAGGAGGCCTCATGGGCACCTCGCGTGGGGCCGCACACAAAGGGCGCTGGGCCGCCGCCCCCGAGACGCCCCCACCCACCGCTCACCTTCACGGAGGCGAGTCCACGCGGGGCCCCGGAGGAATACAGATGGCCTGAGGCAGGACGCGGGCAGGGGCAGTGTCCCCTGGGCTCCTCCTGCAGCAGCCGCCGCGGCCGCGGTGTCCGGCTCCCGCAGCCCCGGGCAGAACGCTCGCCGCCGCCGCCACCACCAGGCGCCCTTCGAGCTTCCCCGGCCGCCCGCGATCCGCCTCGCGCCCGCCGGCCCGCCCGCCCGCCTGCCCGCCTGCCCGGTCCGCAACAGCGCCTCGCAGGTCTGCTCCGCTCAACCGCTAAAGGCGGCCGACGCGCGGCCCCGGCTGAAATAGCGCCCCGCCCCCGCCCCCCCGCCGCGCGCGCCGCCGTCCACGCTCCCCATTGGCTGCGCCCGCTCGGCCCCGCACTGCGGGCTTCTCCCCGCGCAGCTCTCGCCCCACATCTTGTTTCCTCCCACAATGCCTCGGGGCGGAGGGAGGAGGTGGGGACGAGGAGCTGGAAAGGGCTGGGGGAGGGAGATGTGGCCTTAAGAAGAGAAAAAAGGGGAATACAGACCCGTCCGCCCAGGCCTGGAGAGGCCAGGTCTGGAAAGGAATAAAGGGAGAGGCTCAGAGAGAGGGAGAGGCATAAAGACCCCAATCCCAAAAAGAATAGAGGGGCATGGAGGTTTCAGACCTGGGGAGCAGATGGGAAAGGGGTAGAGACACTAACCTTAGGGGAAGGAGGTGAAATCATCAGCCTCAGAGGAAAAGACAGGACCCTCTTCCATGGGGAAGAAAGGCCAGCTCAGTAGAGCGGTAAAGGCTTAAACAGCCCCAGGGTTCCCCTCCCTCACATTCAGGAAAGGTCTCTTCACCACTCAGCTCAGCCTTTGTTCCTGAGTCTCAAGGCCACAGGACCAAAACTCCCAGCTGAGGCCCCAGCTGCTGTTTATCTTCAAAAACAATGGACGCAGACCCTAAGCTGAGCTGTGAGAAAGGTTAGTCTTTGGTACCTGGGATAAGCCCCTGGGATAGGCCCCTGGGATAGGCCCCTGGGCTAGAGGGTAAGCTGTTTCTGGTCATTCGCCCTACCTATCTGGTTACACCGGACTGGAGGGGGAGTGAATAGAATCTGTAGCCTGTCAGAGCTGTGAGTAGCCTCAGAATCCATCCCATCCATATTCCCCAACCTTATGAAGGAGAGAACCTAAGTACAGAGAGCGAAGGGCCCTTGCCAGATCACCACAGGCGAGGTGGGATTTGACTTCTAGGTTGAAGAGTAGTGGTTTGGACAGCAGTCTGGTGGCTGAAGAGGCAGCTTGTTGGAGAGTGTGGGAGAGTGCCTGCCCTCCCCTCCTACCTCCAGAAAAGGACAGGAAACACCAGCTTTTTTTTTTCGTCTGTTTTACAAAGGCAGTGTCTACCTAAAGGGGTGGTGAGAGTCTGCTGGGAGCCAAGCATTTGGGCCACAAAGTGAGGATTAAGAAGCTCCCATTCCTACCATTTTTCCTTCACTGCCCCAAACCATGGTCGGGAAGTCAGATTTACTGTGGCCCTGGCCTGCTCTGGTTTGTAGCATCATAATTTAGTGTTCATTATGTGTCAAGGGAAACCTGGAAAATCATTCCCTCCCATTTCTGCTTTCCACAGCTCTGTTATCTCCCAACCTCAGTTGGGATTTCAGAGAAATGGGCAAGGCCTGAGGTATCCCCTCACCCCCTTCTGATGTCAGCCTCTGTGTAAATGAATACTGGGGCGGGGTACATGTGGGAAGGGAGGGAAGAGATGAAGAAGGGGATTTATCCACGTGGCTGTGGAGAGCTAATGTCCTGGACTACTAGGAGGAGAATTTGAACCCTCTTTCTCCAGTGGTCTTTAGCTTCCAGCCTCTTATATGGCCTGAAGGTCAGAACTGCCATGGATGGTTGTACAGATTGTTCATTATACAATGGCATTCAGCCTAAGGAACAAGTGGGAGCTAAAATACAGCCTGCAGTCCACTTGCTAAACCATGTGCCCTGGTACAGGCCAATGTCCACCCAAAAGATGCACACCTTTATTTGAGTGTACCTAAAAATATCTGTGAACTAGAGATAGCTTTTCTAATGCCATGCTGCCGGAATATAAATCCTCCTCTCTGGTCCCCTACCCTAGAGTAGAGGAGGGCAAGAACTGGGTCATTCCTAGTCCTGGCTGTTGTGGGATAGAGGTAGGGACATAGAGAACTTCAACTAACAGGAGTCAAAACTAAGACTTTTGACTTTTAAGAAATATGGGTGGGTGGGTGTGAAATGTGTGTGACAAGGACTAAACTCTAGGATATCAGGGAGACTTGTTAATAATAGTATGGTTTATAGATAATAATATTTATAGAGCCTTCTGTGCCTGGCTGTATCCTAAGTGTTTCAAATGTATTACTGCATCTAATCTCTGAAACAATCATGGTGAGTATATTACTGTCCATGTGTACAGATGAGGAAAGTACCTCTTTGACAAGTTCAGTAACTTTCCCAAGGTTACCAGCTTGTCAATTGGCAGCATTCAACCTAAGCTGTCTGTTCCTGTGCCTGCACCCTTAGCCATTGCACTTCCCAGTCTCCTAACAGTGAAAAGAAAAAAGTATAAACCCGGGGTTTAGTGCTCTACCTGAATTGCACAAGCATTTCCTTAGCTTATTGGACTCCACAGCCCTTTTTTCTCCATTTCTTAATATCTCCAGGGACTGCTATTCCACAGGACAGTTTGGGACATTGCACTATACTAATTACTGCTCTTTATGTAAAATGCTTTCTGTTTAGGGTAATTACAATGCAACATAGTGTTATAATTAACATGTTGGCTTAATGTGATGGACATTTTATTTGGTGCCACTACACATTCATGATTGCCTAGTTATCTGTTGTCCAGAGAGCAGAGCCATGTCTTCAGATTTAAAAACCAGAGGAGACTTTTGTTTCTGTCTCATCTGTGGGCCCCTTACCCTCTGGCTATCTTTTTATCTTGAGGGTTCCCCCAGGGCACTGTGTTTCAACCACTGCTTGAGTAGTTTCATCCACATTCTTGGTTTTTACCCAAATCTGACCCTGATGACCCTCTTAAATCCCAGACTTCTCTACTGTGGGTGTCCTGCCAGCTTCTCAAGAGTCCTCACATGTACACACGGTAAAGCCTAGTTGTTAAAAGCATTGGCTCTGGATCTAGAATGCCTGGATTCTAACCTCTTTCCACCACTCTACCAGCTGGGCAGATCTGGCCTAGCTATTTAACATCTCAAAGTTTCATTTTCCTCATCTCTAAATTGAGAATAATAACTACTTCATAGAATTAAGAGAAAAATGCATGAACGTTTGGCACAATGCCAGGTCTATATAAATGATTAATGACTGTTAACCGTCATCAACATCTCTCTTCCAGACTTATCCCTTCCCTGTATTTCTTATCTCAGTTCATGGTCCCATTATCCACTCAGGCACCAAGTCAGAAACCTGCAACCCCCCCTGGATTTGTATGTCTCCCTTACCATGTGTCCATCATCACCCACCTCCAGTCCATGTCTTCTAGCATACAAGTGCCTCATTCTCATGAATACCCTGCACAGGCATTCATCATCTCTTACAGTTGGTTCCCTGCCCCCATTCTTGGCTCCTTCTCCCCAAAGCCACACTGCAGTGATCTAAAATATGAATCTCCCAGGCACTTCCATGCTCTTTCCCATAACTTATCTTCCCCATCACATACACACCCCCAGCCTCTCTGCCTTATCTCCCCACACTTCCCATCTCCCTCTTCATGCTCTGACATCACTATCAGCTGCCTGGGGTTTCCCCCAAACCCAGATTCCACCTTTGTTCACATGATTCTCTTGCCTGTGATGCTTGCGGCTTTCTCTCCTGGCTAACTCCTTTGAGCGTCTTCTACGAAGACTTCCCTGAATCCCAGGTGGGATGCATACCCCTCTTCTGTGCTTTGGTAACGTCCAGGGCTTATCACTGACCACATCTTATTAAACTTGTCAGTCTAAACTAAGTTTGTCTGTGGTTCCTTGCAGACAGGGATCTCGTCTCATTTATGTGGGCTGCAAAACCTAATACAATTCCTGGAACTTGGAAGTTCTCTGTAAATATTGGTTAAACTTTACAATTACAAACTTTACATTAATGGCTGAAAAATACTGCTTGGAAGGACACTCCGTCTCTTTGCCTACCATGCCAGGGCACTTGGGTCTCTTTCCCTGGAACCAGCAACACTTGCTATTTACACTAGGCCCTTCCTGCTAGCTAAGGTAAATCATTGTCAGCCCTGGGGAAAGTCCAGGTCTGATTTCTGAATTGATTTCCTCCTCACACTCTCTGCTGGGTATTTGGCTGATATCTTGACATCTAGTAGGTAAAGACAAGCAATGGCTCTCCCACCTCAACTGTCGGGGTCACCCAGAGGAAAGAGACCATGGTAGTGACAGAGGTCATTTCACCAAGCCCTTTAGCCACTGACTGGCTTCAAGGGCTCCAAGGGGATGGAGAAAGGTGGGATCATACACACTGCCACTCCCACTGCAGTGCAGACCCTAGTGCCAGTCTCCTCTGCCAAGTCCCCAATGGGAGAACTTAAGGAAGAAAGCAAGGTGACTAGAATTACTAGAATCTGCCCAAAAATCTTGCAGATTTCATGGGTGGCTTTGCAAGGCATACTTCCGTAGGCCACCATTTACCAAGTCCCAAATACTGCCCTCCTCATCCCCAAGTGCCCTGAAGCCTGGAGGAGCAGCCAAGATCAGCCATGTGATTGGGAACTAGTGAAATGAGCACTAGACTGGGAGTCAGACAAGTTCTAAGCCAAATTTGGCTCTAGTCAAGTCACTTCACATCTCAGAATCAGGATTTCTTTATCTGGAATATGTAGGACTGGATGATCTATAATGTTCCTGTCAGTTCCAAAGTCTATGTTCTCTGATTTCAATAACTCATCACAAAGGGTACCTACTCTGTGGGTCACAGAAATTTCTCCACCTCTAGCCAAGCTTAAATGACCTCTTTTTTCTGATCCTTCTATCCTATCTACTCAGAATTCAGAGAACATTTCTCTACGTTCCCACCACCCACTAAAGTTGAGAGATCATTTTGTTCATCTTTGTATACCTTTAACTAACAAAATGCCTTGACATAGTTTAAGAGTCAATGAATGTTTGAGCTTCAATTGAATATTAAAGCAAATGATCACCAAGAGGAAACCAAAGGGAAGATACTCCAGTGGAAGTGATGGTTTCCAGGTCATGA